CTTACGCTAGCGTATTTAGCTGCTTACGCTAGCGTATTTAGCTGCTTCATTGACTTTATTTTTCTGATGGTGAAGCGATGTACAACCTGAAAGGCTCTGAGGTGTTTCAGTATCTACACAATAATAAGGTCGGTGGCATTTTGTTAAAAGAGGTGGGACACCATCTTATTTACCTTAAAGCAGCCAAAGCCTTAAAGTCTTCCATCACTGAGCTTGAGTAATTGCAGAGAAAATCATAAAACTGAAGGCGAACAAATTCTATATTGCTGTGACCTCCATACACTTGAAATTATACCCGACGTTCTCGTCACTGTTTTCAATCCTTCTCAGGTTCTGCCGTCTCTTCTCCGGTGGTTTATCGTAGTCCAGACACAAAGTAGGATGCAGGTTTTCCTCTGTCAGCCGTTTGTCAACAAAGTGAAATGAGCACACATACAGTGTTTTGGGTGGTCTCTTCAAGTTCACATTTTACAGCCATAATTCATAATTCTTCATCTGTAGGTAGGAGATGGAAACTATACCTCTTTTCACAGGAACACTTTTTGTTTTGGGTCTGTGTTCAAAACTCAGTTGTTGTAGCAAGTAACTTAGTTTAGTCTGGTTGTTCGTGCAGCTGTGAACACAACAGGTACCTGAACTCAGCACGGCTATTTTAGTAAACTTTACAGTTGTTAAATAAATGTGAACAAAACAAAAACGGTGTTTTATCTGCTAAACTGAATGCAAATTATTTCCAAATAAACCGCGGTCCGTGCTCCACTACCATGGTTAACCAATTCTTACTGCTACTTCCTGTCTGACAGGAAGTTTTACTCATCATCATTTTGACAGTAGTGCCCCCAGGAATAAGGTGGATATGTCAGTTAAGGATTGTTAGGTCTTTAGTTTGATATGAAAACGGATCAGCTCGCTTATCTCTGGCTGTTCATTTGCTAATTGTAGTAAGTTTCAGTGTGGTGCGTTGTAAACTTTTCATATTCTTTGTTTCAATGACTGGGTGTTATTGTGAGGCTGTCTGTGCTTTCACCTGAATAATTCTAATAAAGATAAGATTTTGTAAGCAACGTGATTTAAATAAAGACTATTCAAATGACCATAAATGTAAATTCCTCACAAACTCCGGACATGTCGAGGTCCAGATTCAGTTTTCTTCAAAGCTGCAAGCAGTTTGGGGACTTTTCATCTTGTTCTTGTGTTTTTCAGCTGAGGGAGCTGAGCTGTGGATCCTGTGTCTTTTCCTGTTTTCTGACACACACACACGCGCGAGATATCTTACGTTTTCTTTTCCAAAGAGTTTTTCCACATGTTTGTCCTCAAAAGGGAACATACCTGAGTTATCGACATGTTATCTCAGTATAGGGGCTGTTTAGTCTAACAGTCTGCATGTGCATAAAAAAGTCTCACGTGAGTCAAACCTCCTCCAATCCTTGTCCAAACCTTTTGTTGATCAGTTCTGTGCAATCTCACGTGATATCACAAGATCGTGCACAGTCTGATGTCACTCACAGTAAGTGTTGGAAGTAACTCAGCTAATGCCAAATCACATTTTAACTCGATATCTGTAAAACTGACTGATTTATAGCCGTGTATGTGTCGTCTCAGGTTGATTAGCTGTAGCTGTGTCGGCCATCTTGCGTTAGGTTGACTCCTTTCATAATTCGTAGACGTTCATCCAGTGATGATTTCCTGAATGATTCAAGTAAATCAGCAAAATGGTTCATGAAATTTGCTAATACACACAGACCATCACCCAGCTCTAAATGTTTGGTGGCAGGTAATGAAAAAATGCTAATATTATTTTACTTTCAAGACATATAGATGGCATTCTTTATGTGCTGCATCATACTGGTCAATAAAGATTAAAAGTGATTTTAAATTACCGTATTTTCCGCCGTCAAAGTCGCATCAGTCCAAATATGTCTAATAAAGTGGGAAAAAAACATAAATACGTCGCTTTGCCGTATGTCGCATCTATTATGCGTCTCCGCTGACCACCTGGAAACGTGGGCCGGTGTTGTGCCTAAATGTGATTGGCTGCCAAAATGGCGGCCGCAGGAGCGTGCACGGGAGGACTTTAACAAGAATTTAACATGATTAACACTTTAAAAACAATTGTTTGCTTGAAATTATATTAAATGTGTCTCAGTTTAACTTTTCCTTAATAAATGCACTTTAATGGTCAAATCAGCTGCATTTCGCCTGGTGGGTGGCGTGGTGACATTCAGCTGATTTGACCTTTGCTCCAGGAGTTCAGGAGTGAGACCAAGGTGGCTTTGTATGGCAAGCCAAGTGTCTCATTAATAGCCACTTTGACCTATTAATGAGACACTTGGCTTGCCATATTGCTTGAGGGCCCTCTAGTGGTTGAAAATGGTAGTGCTCAATATTTTCCATGTCAGAATGAATGAAATCGTCAGATCTGAGCTAAAATAGGTTTATAAATATGGAGGGAAAACGTGTATTAGTCGCTTCGGTGTATAAATCGCAGGACTTGCAAATTTATGCAAAAAGGTGTGACATATACGGTGAAAAACACGGTAGTTTTTAAGGCATAAATGTTTACTGATAAATTTGAATTTTTTTTTATTGTAATTGATGCGTTTTAAGAAATTGTCACCATCGTCGATTTATTGAAATGGAAGTTTAGCCACACGAAAGGCTTTTCTACACCAGTTTACACACCGAACAGTTTTACTTTTATTTTGAATGTGTATTTGTGGTGCGGCAGTGGTTTTTGTACGCCCACTGGATGTTTCACACATTTTTACTTTCAGATGCTCAGGTGTACATTTGAAGAACTAACAAGTGCAGATGGTTTTTGGCGTTCTCGTGAAATCTTTTCTGAGCATGAGCTTGTAGAGCAGGTAGAAAATAACTTTTGTTGTTCGGAGGAAAAAGGTCGACAATGTGCTTGTTGGCATTCTCAGCTGTGAGTGCTCAGTAATTATTAGCACATTATAATTAGTAATTATATATAATTTATGATCAGCTCAGTTGTTGTTTTTCTATCACTGTAAAAAGTAACAGCAGCTGCTTACTTAATGATGTGACAATACATTTGTTGCCCCGGGTTTGGATTTTTGACATTTACCTCTGTAGACAACAAAAAATAAAAGCACGCTGAAGATGTGCAGCAATTTTAAAAATAAAGGAACATACAAAATGTGAGTTTAAACACAAATAAAGACATACAGAATGTGTATTGTTCCAGTTAATACTAACAGGCTTCTAAAATTGAAGTTCAAGGTTCTTTATTGTCATTTGCATCACATGTGGTACATGAGGTGGAACAAAACTGTGTACTCAAGGTCCCAGTTACACTCCAAAATGGCAAAAAATATAAAGTATAAAATAGAAACCGTATACAAGAATCTAAGATATATATGCTAAACAATAATAATGTAAAATAATACGGTATGTTAAACAGCAGCCTGAACATGAGCCTGTAGCGAGCAGGTGGATATATACAGCAGTTTAAAGGCAAGAAATCAGCAGCATGGATAATCAGCAGCACAGATAAGTGACATATCACCAATTAAAGTGGCATTACAGTGATTTTCCTTGATTCACGAGTCTAACAGCTTCAGGGTAGAAGCTGTTCCTCAGTCTAGTGGTTCTACACTTAATGCTCCTCAACCTCCTTCCTGAGGGGAGCGGGGCAAAAAGTGTGTGTGCTGGGTGAGTGGGGTCCTTCATGATGCAGGTGGCCCTCTTCCTGCATCTAGAGGTGTAGATGTCTGTGATGGTGGAGAGGCTGACTCCAACATCTGTGCAGCCTTCACCACTCTCTGCAAAGCTTTTCTTTCTGCAGCTGTGCAGCCTCCATGCCACACGTTGATGCTGGAGCACAGGATGCTCTACTGGCAGTAACACTGTTCTATGTTAATTTTTATGTTGTGTTTTGTTGGCATGGAAAGAGAAGCTTTATTAACTAGATGAACATTGTTGTTTTTTTATCTTTTCAAATTATTAGCGTCACATTTTTGCTGTTTGAGACGGCAAGAGACGATTTCTCAGAGTACATCATGAGGGTGACAGCTGCCAACACATAACGGTATCTATAAAAGTGACTGACGTAGAGCTCAGGTCTGTGCTGAGGTGGCCATCTTGAACGTTAATAAGTTGTAGATGATTAGTTTGAGTTTAATTAAAGCCTGTCCTCTGCTTCATGAGATAAAGACAAAGAAAACACACACAACGACATGAGCAACAAACGTCCTCCACCTTGTCTACGGTGATGAAAAAAAAAAAACCTTTACAGAAATTGAAGTTTTCACTGATTTTTCCTATTTTTGATTTTTAGTTTTGTCTGAATAACACAACTCATAAGATCCAGCTGATGTCATGAGAACATCTGTTGAGGCGACGTCACACGTTGAGCTTTAAATGCTTCCTGAGCCGCTGACCTCCGCTCTGAGTTTTGTTTGCGATCTTGTTGCGTTCTCTTGAACATCGTGTTCGTTCTTTTCGTTCCATTTTCACAATCCATCCATTGCTTTTAGTTAATTATATCAGAAACTAGCTTTATTTTATCTTGGGTTGTTATTGTGTGTTTAGCTCAAACTTGTAAAGTGTTTTATATTTAGTTCCTGTGCATACTTTTGTCTTCGTCTGTGTTTTCTCAGCCTCGTAGACTTTGACCTTTAGCTTGTGAGCTGTGATGACATGTTGGAGAGTCCTGTGAAATCGCACCCTGTTGGATAAAGTCTACTTTGACACAAATCAACTCTTCAACTTAATAACAACACGATCATGTGTAAAGTTTGTATTCATACTGTAGCCACGGTCGTGGAGCGTCTGTTATCAGACAGTGAAAGCCTAAAAAGACCATGAAGGGTTTTTAATTGTCTTCTACCTTGAAGGTTTTATCAGAGACTCTGGTCTTTAATGTTCCAGTCAAGCAGCTGTGTTGATGCTCAGTGGTTTTATCTTACTGGTGAAACGGCACACGATTTGGCTAAATGTTTCACTTTCCGAGCTAATTTCACTCTGAATCAAAATATCTGGTTCCAGATGTGCTGTAAGGTGGTTAGAAAGCTGGTTGTGAATTAAAACCCTCTGTTCTTGGCACGCTGCTGTTGTTCAGGAACCTCTTCAGACAACCGGTTGATTAAGTGGAGGCCTTGCCGCGCTGTCGTCGCGTTAAGTGTAATGTGTTGGTGTTTTTCCAGATTCAGTCATCAATGAGAACCAAAGTGAAAACCTGGAGAAGGTCCGGAGCGACTTCGCCATGGAGACGGAGTTAAATCCTGGTGGGATGGTGGGGATCCAGTCTGCCAGAGGGCCGTCTGCTGCGAATGCGAACCCCATCAACTTTTCGCTGAAAAACTTTGGCACCGAGCTCAGGTAAAAGACTCGTACCTACATTTGTAGACAACCACCACTGAGCTGCGTTAAGGGAATAAAACTACCTTTTGCTTCTTCTTCCTGAGGCTGTTTGCAGCAGAGGAAGTGGTTAACTCCAGAGTCCACTTGTTGTTTACCAGCCAGCTGTGAAAAGTTCCTCTTTTAGAACATAAAACACATGTAACACTCAAAATGGGACGCTCCTGTTGTGGTTTGTACTTTGACTGGTTCACTTTCATTTAGCGTTCGTCTTTAAATCCGTAGAACAGCTTTTTAAAGTGCTGTGTCCACGTAATTATCCTCTACTGCCATGAGAGGCGGGTGAGCATGGATCTGTGTGTGTTTGTCTGTCAGCAAAATATCTCAAATGGATGTATTTTAATAAAACTCAAAGTAATCATTGGATTATGTCTCCAACTGGTTAACCTTTGTAGTCAGCTCCGATTAAGATGCTGCATCTGAACACAACACAGTCTACAGATGTTGAGCTCAAATTTGGTGTGGAAGTAGCTGAGAGTCATCTCCAACTTATCCTCAAATTGCTAACGCGCCACACAAAACCTTTATAGAAACGGTTGGCGTGCCAGATGGCGAGCGGTAGCTTGGGATGCACAATATTATCGGCATGGTATCGGCCAATGTTAGCGATAAAGTTAAATATCAGACATAGACCATTCCATGCTGTTTTTGTATGGCAACCCAGTGACAAAGATGTCTGCAGCGCCAGCACAACGTTATGACATAACGTGCGCTGTTGAGTTTAGATTTGTGAAAATTTACTAATTTGCACTGTTTGAGTGTTGTCATTGTGTTAGAGTAAATGGCATGAATAAATTTGACATTAAACATAATCCAAGTTGAAGTGTTGCATCATTTTCAGCCCCTTTTTTGACATCTGCATTTGGCAGCAGGCCAGACTGACAGACACCACGCAGAATAATGTCTTTTAATTCCACAGCAGAGAAAGTTATGTAGTCTCTGTAAGTTGGTCTAGGGAAAGAAAATCTATCGGTTATCGGCCAAATGAGTTTTAACATATCTGATATCGGCCAAAAATCCAGTATTGTGCATCCCTAATTTCAACAAATCATAAATCAAAACGTTCAGCTCTTTCAGGACAATCCTGCTATGACTTTTGGTATTGGTGCAACAATATTTAGACTTTTTTTTGCCACTTTTTTTTTCTCATAGAAAATGAATTGAGCTCATTTTACATCCTTCAAAATCTTTAGATATGTTTACAACCTTTTATTGCTCCTTTCACATTCTGTTCTGCTTCGGCTTCTTTCATTCATTCTTCTGCAAATTAAAAAATAAAATCAGATTTTTCAGCTGTTTCCTCCTTTCAGATTATTTTTGCTAACTACAACACTTTTGTGCTTCTTGTAACTTCTTTCAGCTTATTTCTGCATGTTTCAGTGGCTGTTTAGCTGTTTTTATGCTAATTTCAGCGTTTTCAGCCAATTCCACATTTTTTGCACTCATTTCAACATTCATCAGCCTAATCCAGCAAAAATGTGCTCTCTCCACTTCCTTCTGGTAATTTGAAATTCTTTCTGCTTTTTATACTTTTCAACTGCTTTTTTTGGCCAATTTCAGCTTTTTTCTGCTAATGTCATCTTTCTTCTGCTCATTTCTGCTTATTTCAGCCTAATTAACTTCTTTCTGCTAATTTCAGCTTTTTATGCTCCTTTTAACATATTTCTGCTAGTTTCAGGTTTCTCTGCTACTGTTTTATGTAAAGTTTAGCCTTTTCAGCTAATTCCACATTTCTTGGCTTATTTCAGCTCCTTCTACTTCCTTCTGGTAGTTTAGGCTTCTTTCTGCATTTTCAGCTACTTTTTGCTAATTTCAGCCTTTTTTAAGCTAATTTCCTAATTTTTGTGGTCATTTCTGCTTATTTAAACCTGTTTCAGCAAATACATGTTCTTTCTTCTTTCTTCTAGTAATTTAGGCTTGTTCTTCCATTTTAGCTATATTTCAGCCTATTTTTATTTTTAGCAAATTTCAGCTGTTTCTCTGCAAGTTCTTCAGCAATAAGCCTTCACACTGCATTTTTGCAGGAAATCTAATTTCTCTAGTTGTTTTTGTATTTAATTTGTTCCACAGCATCAGGTATCTGTCCGTGAGATCGAACTGGTTTCACCTTTGTTTGTGTTTGTTTCTAGAAACACCATGTCGTCTCTGCGGCCCGGCAGAGCGGGCGAGAACAGACGCAGTGTGTTTTACACCAACAACAGCAGCTCAGAGGAGTGGGAGATGATCAATCCTCCACCCAAGGACTTCCCTGAACAGAAGACTCTCCTCAGCTCACACAGACGTAGGCTCTGCCTCCTCAGAGTTCATTACTCCACCTAACCTTCCTCCCTGATGATCTCACACACACACGCCTCTCCTCCCTCAGATTCCTTCGGATCGGCGTTCACTTTCGATTTTGTGCGCACCTCCTCACGGCCCAAGAGGTCCTCGCTTCGAGACGTGAAGGGAACGGGGAGGTTTGGGCGCAGTTCTGAGAACTCTGCGGCGGAGTGTAACGGCAGCAAGCCTTCGGACCTGCAGCTTCGACTGCAGAGCCAACAAGAAGAACTGAGCCAGATGCAGCAGGAGCAAGTCCAGCTGCGAGAGAAGCTGGCCAGCCAGAAGGTACGCTCACTTGTCCTTACGACGGTGAGTGCTGAGTCAGCATCACGTTGTTTTCCTTTTTGTTTGTATAATTTTTGCAGTCAAACTACTTCTGCATACTTTGTAATATTTATAAAGTTATATAATAGTGTTCTATGACTTTTAGTATTTGTAACTTTTATACTTTTAAAATTATTTAGATTTATTTGCAAAGTTTTCTACATATAAATACGTTGAGATCTGTTCAATTCTCACTGTACAAAAACCTTTTTCTCTGAAATATGCTTCAGGATACTTTATTTTTGTCTTCTTATGCTCCATTTACAGTGCCTTGCGAAAGTATTCGGCCCCCATGAACTTTTCAACCTTTTGCCACATTTCAGGCTTCAAACATAAAGACATAAAATTTTAATTTTTTTGCGAAGAATCAACAACAAGTGGGACACAATCGTGAAGTGGAATGAAATTTATTGGATGTGTCAAACTTTTTTAACAAATAAAAAATGAAAAGTGGGGTATGTAATATTATTCGTCCCCTTTGCGTTAATACTTTGTAGCGCCGCCTTTTGCTGCAGTTCCAGCTGCAAGTCTCTTGGGGTTTGTCTCCATCAGTGTTGAACATGGAGACACTGAAATTCTTGCCCATTCTTCCTTGTAAAACAGCTCGAGCTCAGTGAGGTTGGATGGAGAGCGTTTGTGAACAGCAGTCTTCAGCTCTTTCCACAGATTCTAAATTGGATTCAGGTCTGGACTTTGACTTGGCCATTCCAACACCTGGATACGTTTATTGGTGAACCATTCCATTGTAGATGTGTCTTTATGTTTTGGATCATTGTCTTGTTGGAAGATAAATCTCCGTCCCAGTCTCAGGTCTCTTGCAGACTCAAACAGGTTTTCTTCCAGAATGTTCCTGTATTTGGCCCCATCCATCTTCCCATCAATTCTGACCATCTTCCCTGTCCCTGCTGATGAAAAGCAGGCCCAAACCATGATGCTGCCACCACCGTGTTTGACAGTGGGGATGGTGTGTTCAGGGTGATGAGCTGTGTTGCTTTTACGCCAAACAAACTTATCGTTTTGCATTGTGGCCAAACAGTTGGATTTTGGTTTCATGTGAGCAGAGCACCTTCTTCCACATGTTTGGTGTCTCCCAGGTGCTTGTGACAAACTTTAAACAACTTTTTATGGATATCTTTGAGAAATGTCTTTCTTCTTGCCACTCTTCCATAAAGGCCAGATTTGTGCAGTGTACGACTGATTGTTGTCCTATGGACAGACTCTTCCACCTCAGCTGTAGATCTCTGCAGTTCATCCAGAGTGATCATGGGCCTCTTGGCTGCATCTCTGATCAGTCTTCTCCTTGTTCGAGATGAAAGTTTAGAGGGACGGCCGGGTCTTGGTAGATTTGCAGTGGTCTGATACTCCTTCCATTTCAATATGATTGCTTGCACAGTGCTCCTTGAGATGTTTAAAGCTTGGAAAATCTTTTTGTATCCAAATCCGGCTTTAAACTTCTCCACAACAGTATCTCGGACCTGCCTGGTGTGTTCCTTGGTCTTCATGATGCTCTCTGCGCTTTGAACAGAACCCTGAGACTCACAGAGCAGGTGCATTTATACGGAGACTTGATTACACACAGGTGGATTCTATTTATCATCATCAGTCATTTGGGACAACATTGGATCATTCATAGATCCTCACTGAACTTCTGGAGTGAGTTTGCTGCACTGAAAGTAAAGGGGCCCAATAATATTGCACGCCCCACTTTTCAGTTTTTTATTTGTTAAAAAAGTTTGACACATCCAATAAATTTCATTCCACTTCACGATTGTGTCCCACTTGTTGTTGATTCTTCACAAAAAATTAAAATTTTATATCTTTGTTTGAAGCCTGAAATGTGGCAAAAGGTTGAAAAGTTCAAGGGGCCGAATACTTTCGCATGGCACTGTAGCTTTTAACTGTTGCTAATTTTAGCTTTTAGCTATGGATATGTTCTTTTTAGGTTTTAGCTACTGTTCTGCTTGTTTCCACTTTAATAGTTCAGTGACTTCACTAATGTCAGTGAAGTCCTTCAGCTCTCAGCATGAAGTCCTCCAGTTGTAGTTTGATGTGAACACTTTAGTGTCACATGTAATCAAAATAAATGAGTAAATTACTCATGTTTTTAGAAAATGAAGTGTCAGCCTGAGGTTGTGGTGTCAGACCGAGTGCCTGAGTTTAGTTTCTTATTTTCTCACTGACACAGGAAGACCGTATACGATTAGTCATGCTTCAGCTCGTAATGAGGAACTGTAGTTCTGTAGACGATCACAGCTCTGGCACCTCTTCCCATTTCTCTCTGTTCTCCTTTTTTTTGAAAGACGATTGGTCAAACTGGTCAGGAGTGTTACTAGAAAGAGACAAATGTTCAGTTGATAGTTCTACCCCCCCCCCCCCCCACGCCCCCCCCCCCCCCCCCCCCCCCCCCACACACACACACACACACATACATACATACACAGCTTTATATTTATAATGACTGATAAAAATGTGAGGAATTCATACAAAATAATTATAGGTTTCTTATTTCTTCCTATCTATTACATCTAACTTTAGCTCATCATCTAAGTTAGTTATATAAAGTTATAAGTTATAGACATTTTTGTGTTTGCTAAGGTTGAGCGGCCATGTTAATTTTTTTGCTTTAATGTTTTTATGGCACGGTGTGGATGATAGAAAAGTTTCTCTGTTTATCTCTGAAAATAACTGTTTGTGTTGAAACGAACCCTGCTGCTCAAAGCTAATTCAACATAGGAATCCACTTATGAGTCTTGTATAAATCTGGTTCTCTCAGAAACAAATCCAACATAAATTACACTGGAGAAATTGCATTTCCTGCAAAAATGCAGTGTGAATGTTTATTACTGAAGAACTTGCTGAGAAACAGCTGAAATTACTGAAGAACTTGCTGAAATGGAAGAAGAAGCCTAAGTTAACAGAAGAGAGCAGATAGAACACATATTTGCTAAAAGTGGAGAGAACATATTTTTGTTGAATTAGGTTGGAAAAAGTTGAAATGAGTGCAAAAAATGTGGAATTAGCTGAAAAAAACTTAAATTAACAAATTATTTCAACCTTTATTTAGACAGGTTAATCCAACTGAGCCTCGAGGACTCATTTATAAGAGATAATTTATATTATAATATTATAGTAATTATATTTATAGTAGCTAAAATAGTAGACAAAGCTGAAACTTGTAGAAATAATCTGAAAGGATCATAACAAGCTGAAATTAGCTGAAAGTAGCTGGAAAAAAGTTACAATTTGCGCAAAGAAGCTGAAGCAGAACAAAATGTGAAAGGAGCAGTAAAAGGTTGTAAACAGATCTAAAGATTTGAAGGATGTAAAATGAGCTCAATTCATTTTCTATGAGAAAAAAAAGAGAGAAAAGCTAAATATTTCAAAAAGTTAAAGTTGCACCAATACCAGAAGTCATGGCAGGATTGTCCTGAAGGAGCTGAACGTTTTGATTTATGATTTGTTGAAATAGCTTGAAAACTGTGGGACAAGAAATGCGCCAAAAAACGTATGGAAGAAAAATGGATCACAGTAATGTGAATGCTTCATAAACATTCACATGATGAGCAAGATTGCTGGAAACACTACCAGTATCTTTTATAAGATTGTCCATAAATCACTCTTTCAAAATGTCTGCTTTTATTTTTTATATTCTCTCTCTCTCTCTCTCTCTCTCTCTCTCTCTCTCTCTCTATATATATATATATATATATATATATATATATATATATATATATAT